TTTGAAACAGCCGCCTTTTAAGATGTAAATAATCTTTTATCTAATCCGTATAGTCGTTTTACTGACCTCAGCGTGCATATCCTTATTTAATTGTTTACGTCACTATGCATCTCGTGGTCGTTTCAATGAAATATTGTTCATGTTTGTCCAGACTGATGGACTGTGTGGTGCCGAATGGATATCGAGGAAACGTGGGACGTCTCGTGGTTTCGAGAGTCATCGAATGCATGACGCAGCTCGTCGAGGGACAGTTTCGAGCAAACAACTCGATGAAATCTTTTGTTTCGACGGGTATGACTAACATCAGGGTTGCGCCTGTTAAGTAAATTCCTGCCGGTTTCTCGAACAAGGTGCTTTCTCGTACAATTAGTCGTCCTTACAAAATGCAAATAATAGAACAATGAATTGTATAACTGCGAAGAATGAATTTACAACGTTCTTGAGAGCTTTAACGGTAGCCAATACAGCTGTCGAAGTCGGTATGTGATTATGTACATCGGGCACGATAAGATAAATTGTTATGCTTATAACAAACTGCATTCCCAGTCTTACAGGTGTAATGTACATATGTACATACATATATTCTATTACTATTATGTATACGTACTTAGATACATATAATCTCTTTGGATCGTGTGTAAGAGCCGTGAAATATCTAGATCCGGATTTATTATACGTTTTATATTCAAGTACGATTTGTTTCCAGCGCACGCTGTTCCCTTCATAAAAAAAAAAGACTACGGATAATATACGTATAAATCTGAGAGATTAATTAGCATGTATGCATAAATACGTGGAGCTCGAATACGAACGAGTAAAAAAAGAAATAGCACCATGACTAACTGCTCGTACCGTTACATTGTTTCTCAATCGCCGACACGTTATCGGGACTGAAATTCTTTTTCCAGTGTCTTCGATCATACGATGATTGGCAGCCTTCGCCTTGTCGGCCGCTCGGGCCATGACAAACAATAGCGTATTCCATTAGCATCCGAGTCTGCTCCTCGAGAGCAAACTAACCGACCATAACCAGGTGCTCGCCGGATTCGGGTTCGGTTCCGAGTCGGCCGCTTGACCACCGCATTCGTTTCGGGCAACGAGAATCAATCACTCCGCTAAACACATACGGGCTCTCGATTCGGTGGTAGATAGTTGTCCTCCGGGCATCGTCGAACGACCAAATATCTCAGATAAATATCTCAGACTCGTCTAACTGGTTCATCCACGAGCCACTAGTACTAACAAGTCATTCCTCTATATCGCAGCTCCTTTTTTTTTTATCGGGAAAAGAAACGTACTACGGCGGTTGGATCCAAGTTCAATCTCCTCTACGCGAAGTGATTTACGTTCGATGCCTCCATACCGGGCGTTACGACCGCAATTAGTAAGTGATCGCGGTTCTTTTTTTCTTGCGTTGGAGTACGGGACGGCGGTGTCGATGAACCGCGCGCGTGTACTTCTCGTTTTCGTTCCGAGTACGCGTCTTTGTCTTGGTCGTTATCTGTTGCTCGAACAATGAAATGCTTTGAACGAACGGCGGGCGGCGTCGGTGGCCATGCTAAACTTGTCGCTTCGATGTTGGACGAAGGCACTCGCTCGTTAGAACGGGGCTTAAGAATAATATCGGTAACGCAATCGTGCCAGAAGCATATTTCATTTGGCAAAGTGTTTCGGGAGACGGCACTTAGCGTTGGTACACGTCACCGTGGATCAGATTATCTTCGGTGTACATACCGAAGACTCGGAAGAGGGCAACGATGCACCGCCGGTGTAAGAAATAAGCAAAAATAGGAACAGCGCCGTGGCGCCAACGAGTTAATAGTTAATTGGCTAATGCCCGGCTAAAAATAAGTGGCGCATCGCCGACCTCGCTTGTATTCAAACTACATACATGCATACATACATAGGTGTATACCTATCCGTATGAAACCAACGCGACGCAACGCGAGCTTAATTCCTGAAAAGGAAAACGCACAAATGACTAGAATTACCTGCGTTTCATTGGCAGACGAGTGCGACGAAACGAAAATCGGTAGACGAAGCCAGACGGTTTTCCTATGAAACAAACACGCGTCTGGTAACGATTCTACGAATGAAAGAAAATTTACGAGACAAGCTCGAAATCGACGACGGTAGATTGTCTGCGTACGAAGCACAGCAAGTTTGTACATACCAACCATTTCCGAAGAAACTACTTAAAGCAACGAATTAATTACGTGTTGGCGTCCACTTTTCCGTTTCTCTATTCGCATGGTAACCGGTCGGACCAGGTGACGATCTCCTCCACCCGTGGCAAGGTGAAAAGACTCATCGACGGGCACGTGTATGCATAATCGACGCTCAGAGGATCCCGATTACGCGGACAAAGGCCTGACGACTTATCTCGTCCATCACTTCTATTATGCAAAGCGGTCTTTGCTTAGGTGTCGACACTCTGATGTCCAAATTTACAAAACATCTTTACAAACTCTTTGTCATTAATACAATACATTATGAGACTAAGAAATTGAATAAACGTCGACGCTAAATCGATTCGATGTAATAATTCAATTTAACGGATAGTCCCTATTGGAATTATTGTAATATGATACAAATTATTTGGGCAGACGCAATTTCATTGAAAGCTCCGATTCGTGGTGCGCGTGTATCGGCGCATCTCAAAGTCTACGGCACCCGCGCAATTTAATTCGCGAGGAGGGGAAAAGAAGTTGGCCGGGTAGCGACATAGCGCACGACAAAAGCTAAAAAGGAGACCGGCTGTCAGGAGGAGAGCTGACGATCTACAGCAGAAGTATGCTGCCGCTCTTTTACGTCGCCCCCTCCTTTCACCGTTCGGGACGCACGAATCGTAACAGGCTTGTGTGTGTACACCGTGGCTCCCAGACACCTAGACACTCACCCTCGCCAGGAAAACGTGGCGTCTCTGCCTCGGGGCTCAGGCGCCACTGTCTCCCTTCTCCTCGTCCCCCGTTTCCCTCACCAACCGCCCATTTCCCGGCGTCGGCCCTCACCACTCAACCTTTTACCAACACACCAGTCCACCGGCCTGGCAGCATACTAGTTCTGGTACAGTGACTGCCATTAACGTACTTAAGTAAGTGGTACAAGCCATATGCGTGGCTCTCGATCCAACCGAACGATAGATCCTAGATCTGATGATCTATGACGATTGATTTTCAACAAATAATTCGAAAAATGTGAATGATCTTCAAGAATTTAACATTTTGTAGATAAATTGAACGAGAAACTTCTAATAAATATCTATTTTGAGATTATAATTCATGAGAGCTAATACCGATTTGTATTATATTAAATACTGAATGAACGACGAGAACGGCAGTCGTGATCGTTGGACGTGCGTATTGTACGCGTTCACGATGCGTGGTTCATCGACAAGGAGCACACTATCGCAGCCGGAGGCGGGACTCGTTTAAAAACTATCTGGCGAGTGTTCTTCGTCGGGTGCCCCTGGTGCGCACCAGCCGCGGCGGAGTCGTCCGGCTGCACGGCGCGGCGCGCGGCGTTTGCTTTTCGAGACCGAAGTGAGTCAGTCAGTCAAGCGTCGACCATCGTCGGGATCGGTTGCCCGCGATATCTCTACCTTCACCTTGCCTGCTTCTTCGAAACGTGCTCGGTTCACTGCTCGGTATGAATTTTCTAACGATCGCGAAGAGGATCGGTAGATCGTGACTAGAAAAGATTTCAAACAAGCTACGTTCTTTCGATGGAGTTTGATCGAACACGATTTTCGTCGATCGTTTAGTCGTAATCGCTGTTTGGACAAGTAAACGTTGATCGATCGGAGATCAAACAATTTTCTTGATACCGAAACGCTCTTTGGTGATAAAAACTTGGAGGAAAAAAAATGTTTTCGCGAAACTTGTTGACTCTTGCGACGATGGTGTCCAGCCTGAACGCGGTCGTTGGCGCTTCCGTGGATCTCGATTCGAGGGACTACGAGATGCTCGGCGATAATCAGGGGAAATCCGATGACAACGGTAAGCTTATGCACATTTTAAGCTGGATGATTTCATGGGAAAGTTAACGGAGAACGGTGGCACCGTGACGCGGCTCGAATCGACCGCGTGAACGGTGGTATGTACACGTGGGTGGCGCCAGATATCGAGACGAAATCAATGGGAATAACAGAATCGCCGTAACGACGCAACGTCGCGAATTAAATTTTAGTTACTCGGCTCTCGTTATATAGATCCGAAGGTCACTTTAATACTTTACGAATGTTGTCGCTCGTATTTCTGCATCCTACTACATTGTCTTGCGGCCGAAGTTTATTATTACACGTGGCCTCCGCAGCTCGGGCACATGTCTCAGCGAAAAATCATTGATTACTGTCATGCATTTTTCCTCCTCGGAATATTGTTACGTACATTCTAGTCGCGGCTAATTAAATCCGGATTGCGGCAGCGATTAAATTTATCGTATTAACGGGACTTCGAAGACTCGCGCGGTTCGATAGTAAACGGCCAAGTACAAATATCTTTCGCGGACGTCCCGGAAGATTTGCGGACTGTTCGCTGTTCGACTTTGACGCCAGGGCAATAAAAGTTGGGAAACGCGGCTCTCTAAATTAAGACCACTGAAGTCGCTGAAGTACATTAATTGACTCTGTCTTTTCTGCATGTTACGCGACGCTCCGAATTCGTGGAACGTGCGCCGAAAATTCTCAACACTTCGTCAACTGTATTCAGATCCAAATGAAACACGGCGAAGGTTTCCCGCGTAAGTACTCGCTCTACCCGAGAGCTGTAATCTCATCGCTCGATGTCAAGTTTATCGTTGTCGAACGCGATCAAGGAAATGTGTATAAACGTAGAACGCGCGCTTGGAAGTCGCAAATGTCCCGACGATAAACGCGAGATAAGAGGGAAGCAGATGCAGAGCGGCTACGTCACGAGGCACGGCCACGGTAATTGCAGAGCTGTACGTCGTACACGTCCGAACAAAAGAAAAAGAAAGGCCTGCGTGCACATCGCGTCGCACCGCCGCCGCCGCCGCCGCGTGTTTAAACCGGCCCGCTGCTTTTTTGCCACCACCGGGCAACACGGCGCAATTAAGGACGCGTGCAATTTCAACGTTTTATCGATGCACGTGGGCAACCGATGGAAAAGTCGTTTAGAGCTTCCCGGTGACAGCGGTTGGCCCGGTTTCTTTTCGAAAAAAAATAGAAACAATCAATGAAGTCACGATCATGGGTCAAATTTAATTGGCAGACACGATAAAATCGTATTTCAGAAGGGGTCATTAGACCAGCGAGTTACGTACATAGCGAGACTTGTGTTCACTAAATATGACTTGTATTTCTCTCTGACTAATCTCACAATCTCAGATTTCACCTAATACTTAATTCTAAGCCAAGTTTCATACACTTTTCGTTCCATACGTATTCAGAGGTAAAGAAAATATACTTATTTGTATAGGCAGATAAAAAGAGATGACATGTACGAAAGTAAACCGGCTAATGCCGCACCGGGCCAGTTCGAACGATACACGATCGATCGATAGATTAACATGCCCGACTGGCGCCACCTGGGATATGCGAGTCCCACGGGATTATGTATGTACGATACATAATAGAAACATAGAGACATGTAAAACGTATACATATAGTAATAAATGGATGCGTAGCCAGACTTTACGAATTCCGGTTAAACGCGGCGGCGTTTGCGAAATAATAAATATTTAAATTTTACCGTTCGCACGATACCGAGTTTAGAAAGACGATAAAGTATGCGTCAGACGCCAGCTAGGCGCGCGGATAGCAGAGTACATAATGTAATGCCTATGTGCACGATAGCTACCTTCCGACACGCTTGTCTGCGCAGTCCTCGTTTACGCAAGTATAACACGAATCTCCATCCGTGAATTACGTGCGCATCGTGAATAATCATCGGAACACACAATGATCTTCTTCTCGGACGAAATTAGTTCCCCCTTACAGATAACGAAAGAGACGAGCCTTTTTATACAATCAGACGATAACGTACGATAAATCACTACGCTATGCAAATTGTCTGCCGTTTGTCAATGCCTCACCTATTTACATACGTCTTCATTGTTTTCGTTTAATCCGCTGAAACGTTCGATTTCAATATTACCGGATGCGCGTACTGTTCGATTTTCATAGGCTCGGGCTCGCAAGCTATGCGCGAATTCTACTATGTAGATGCATGGATGGGTTCCATTTCCTGGAAACATTTTATCGGCGTTATAGTTTCTCGGACACGCGGTACATCGCATTCTTGCCCCCGGGAAAAATATCTTCCCTGATCGCTTCTTCTTCGTCCATCCCTTTGGATGGCCGACCATCGAGGAGACGTCGCGTCGTTAAGCTACGGTCACAGCGTCACCGATAGACGACTCGTTCAACTCCCGACATCACCCGATATCGAACCGTGATTGAACGAATTCAAATCCCATAATGCACCTCGGTTGGAGTACAGAATATTTCAAGTGAAAATAATATTTTTGATATGCAGATCTATGTATGAATGAATTCTATTATGAAGATAAGGTACGATCACATTCTGATACTGTAGAGTGTGTAGATGCGTAGCCAGACTTTACGAATTCCGGTTAAACGCGGCGGCGTTTGCGAAATAATAAATATTTAAATTTTACCGTTCGCACGATACCGAGTTTAGAAAGACGATAAAGTATGCGTCAGACGCCAGCTAGGCGCGCGGATAGCAGAGTACATAATGTAATGCCTATGTGCACGATAGCTACCTTCCGACACGCTTGTCTGCGCAGTCCTCGTTTACGCAAGTATAACACGAATCTCCATCCGTGAATTACGTGCGCATCGTGAATAATCATCGGAACACACAATGATCTTCTTCTCGGACGAAATTAGTTCCCCCTTACAGATAACGAAAGAGACGAGCCTTTTTATACAATCAGACGATAACGTACGATAAATCACTACGCTATGCAAATTGTCTGCCGTTTGTCAATGCCTCACCTATTTACATACGTCTTCATTGTTTTCGTTTAATCCGCTGAAACGTTCGATTTCAATATTACCGGATGCGCGTACTGTTCGATTTTCATAGGCTCGGGCTCGCAAGCTATGCGCGAATTCTACTATGTAGATGCATGGATGGGTTCCATTTCCTGGAAACATTTTATCGGCGTTATAGTTTCTCGGACACGCGGTACATCGCATTCTTGCCCCCGGGAAAAATATCTTCCCTGATCGCTTCTTCTTCGTCCATCCCTTTGGATGGCCGACCATCGAGGAGACGTCGCGTCGTTAAGCTACGGTCACAGCGTCACCGATAGACGACTCGTTCAACTCCCGACATCACCCGATATCGAACCGTGATTGAACGAATTCAAATCCCATAATGCACCTCGGTTGGAGTACAGAATATTTCAAGTGAAAATAATATTTTTGATATGCAGATCTATGTATGAATGAATTCTATTGTAAAGATAAGGTGCGATCACATTCTGATATTGTAGAATTGTAGATGGTAACGAAATTGTACTACGTATAAACAGAGCACGAATCTACAAAACATAATCTAAATCTAATTTTATAAAAAAGAAATTTAGATAATTTTTTAATCATTATTGCACAAATAATTGTTGGAATTTTGTTCCAATCGTAAGTCGGAATGCCTTTAAATTGCAGACTGATGCCATTGTGACCGCAGCTTTAATCTAATGCATCCGACGAATCCGACGTTTATCTGCGAGCCGCGTCAATCTTCGGTTTCGAAGAAGCACGATCTTATAGAATTTTATATTTATAGTGCACAAAGATTAGGAAGCTCTACGCGTTTCTTGGAATCACTAACTTAAATGTGTACGTATCAAGAAGCAATTAGGGTCCAGATTTAAATGACAATGAATGTCGATTTTAAGTGAACGATTGTATTTCGCTACGGTCATATGATTATGTCTGTTCCCTTAATTAGGAAAGTAAAAAATATGAAAAAAATCGCAGTGTCACACGGAAAGAAGTGGCTCGTTTACACCCTTAATCATACAGTGAAACATGTAGAGAAACGTCGAGTACGTCACTTGCTTCCATAGATTCATTAAAAATTACGTAAGCCAACCAGATTCGAGCTTCTTATCTGCGCGATACAAACAAGTTACGGATAACGTACGAATAATTCTCGGTTCGGCTCGGTTCGTCTCGTCCATTTGAATGCATATTTATAAATTGGCGAGGTCGATTTTACGATATGACTCATTCGCCTACGATCTTAATCCCTGTGTTGCCTATTGTCAGTTCTCTTAGATAAATGTTGAAAACGTAAAGAATTCTGCGGTTTCGATTTGCGTCAAGGCAAATTTTGCATAAAGCAGCTGTCGACTCTCGTAATTATTTATAACGCTGGTGACAAACGAAGAAAGATACAATCTGATTAGTTTTTTTTTTATATAGAAGACTCAAGAATTAAATGTATTGCACATTCATTGCGAATATAATTTGAATTCAAAAGTGATTTTTAATCAAAATCGAAGAAACCTGGGACAAAAATCATATTTCAAGTTTCAACAAGTTTACTTATATATTTTTACTTGAAGCCAGTGGAAATAAAAGAATGAAGCGCATTGGTCTTCTAGGAATACTTAAACTGTGGCCATCGAAGGTCTTCTTAAGTGTCAACTTAAAATTTGATTTTTGTTCCATGACAACGGGCCCGCGTGTCGTCTCGGACGAAGCAAAATGTCGTTGAAAAATGCGAGCTCATCCGTGCACCACCGACAAACGTAACGCATGCACGCACACGCAAGCGTGGCCGATGTTTCACGTGTTCACACTCGACCGGGTTACAGCTGGTGTTATGTACGTTAGCCTGACACAGACGCGGACCCACACACGGCCGGAACGGTGGCGCCTGTCGGCCACACAAATGTGCATGCGTGCGTGACGAGTTTATGCCTCCTTGTCTTGTATACGACCACGCATACGTAAATACACGGAGCTCGGAGCGGCGGCGTTCGAGAGTGTGGGTGCACC